AGAAACTGAAGGCAGCATTCCAAAAGCTTGCTTCCTGGATGCCTCTTTTGGATATCTTGAGGTCTTACTGGGGGCCCATTTCGGGGCCTTATGGGTGTATGGGAGACACGCTGGGGTGGATAGCTCCAATTTCCAGATTGAGCTCTCCCAATAAGGCCCCTCTCAGGGGGCCTTTTTCTGTACCTCCTGGGCCCATCTTGAAGCTTCGGAGGCTCTTTTGGACGTGTCTTCAGGGCCTTCTTCGACATTGGCGGCCCGTAGGTTCTGAAGTGAGAGATGCAAGAACTTTCCAGGAGCACCCAAGAATTCAGGCGAATTCGAGGCCCAGAATTTCTTTCACATTCACACCTGTATCGGTTTGGGGGCACTCTGCTACGTTCTGAAGTTTCGGATGTGGGCCAAGCAAAGCATACAGGAATGATAGTAAGTGCCGGCGTAGGAGCACTCGATGCCGCTTTTCGGGGGCACGGTAGCGGATTTGTTCAGGTTGGTACAACTCTATGTTGCGAAGACCGTGCCAGAGAAGCGCGAGGAGGGACATTTGCCTTGTTCAGACACATGGATGTTGCCAATGGTGTCTGATTTTAGCCAACGCCTTCCTCCTGGTCATTTCTCTGCGTGGATTTCGAGGAAAGGTTTCCTGGAGGGTAAATTCCTTTTGACTCGAATACCATGTGCACTCCCGAGTGATATCATTTTGCTTTGTGCATCGGATTGTCTCCGCAATCAGAAAGACATCGCGTACGAAAACCTCGCTGTCATGTCTGCGGACCCGTCTCAGTCATGTTCACCAGCCAGCAGAATGAGTGGCGGCGACTACGATGGAGACGAAGTTCTCATCATCGGCGTACCTTCATTGGTTGAGTCCTTCCAGGAGCAGCCTGAGCCAGATCATCATGAAAATGGGTTCGGCGCATCCTCGAGAATCGAGGTATCTTCTGTATTGGAAAATGCGGATCGCAACGGTCAGACAGAAGCAGAAGCGATGCAGGAGGCAGTCAAATCGAGCTTTGTCCAAGCCAGCCGCGATGCGGCCCTGACAGGCACAGTTAACACGCTGTGGCTCAATAGCGCCGACCAGGATATAAGCGAGCGAGGCAAATTCTCAGAGAGAACGAATACGCTTGCCAGATTGCAAGAGTATGCCCTCGACGCGCCGAAGACAGGATGGACAATGCCTCTCGATAGCTTGCGCAATCTTGAATGCGGTGTGCCCGATTGGAAATGTAAAAAGCGGAGGCGAGCGAACAGTACCAATCTTCTGTATTCTGAGAGCGCGTTGGGTCAAATACATCGTGCCTTTGCTGGAACTCGAGGAGATCCCCATTCTGGTCTCAGGGAGTGGTTGAGGGACAAGCTGGCGAACCAGAGGCCTCCCGACTGTGAATGTCACTCGTTGCTTCGGTTTGCTGAGGCGGCAACTTGCCGCTTGCCTGAGAAGATGCAGCAGACGTGTCTGCAGATCTTTCGGAACGCCGAGGTCGTGTGGAACGATGCGACAAGACAGTGCCGTCTGGGCACGGCGCGCCGAACGGGCGGAGCGCCTGTGTTGTCTTGGCCACAGGCGCGGCGCCGCGCCCGCGCGACGTGGAGAGACGAGCTGCACAGAGACGGGTGGTCTCCAGAGCTCTTTGCGCTGACGGTCTACAAGAAGCGTCTTGGCGACCCACCCTGCTGGGAGCTCTGCTTCGAAGAGCTGTGTGGCGCCGCGGCCGAGCATGCGGCGGAGCGCCCCGGTGGGCACGTGTCTGTCGTGTCTGTTGCGATGGGCGCGGCCGCCGTCACGCTTCGTGGTCAACCTGCGACCCAGCTGCAAGACGGAAGCCGGAACATGCTGGATTTCGGGCCCGCGCCTCCTCTCGTCGATCTGACTCGCCTCGGGAAGGTCCTGCGCAATCTGGCGAGCATGCGCGGGCCTGCAGATGGAGGCGATTTGAACGAGGTGCCCAGGTCTGATCCCAAGATGGTCTCCGTCGACGAGCTCAGATTCACACATGGGGAGATTTCCGATCACTTCAAAAATGGTATGACGATAACGGACACTGTGTCCCAGCTTGAGAATGGAACGGTAAGTTTGTTCAGCAGCGAGTTCATATTGGATGTCGTAGAACTCGAGGGCAAGCTTTATTCAATCGCTTCGCTAATTCCTCCAGCCCGTATTGTGCCATCGCAGGTGTTTGCTTGGGCCGTTTGGGGGCCTCTTTTTGGGCCTCTTTGGGGCCTCGTGAGGCCTCCAGGGGGTCTCCTGGGCTCTTGGGGGCCTCTTGGGGCCTCCTGGTAGTCTCTTGGGGCGGAAGGCTCTTTTTGGTGGTTCGTGTTTCCCCTCTTGGGCCCCTCTTGGGGCCCTCTTGTGGGCGATCTTGGGCGCCTCTGTGGCCGTTTTGAGGCCCTCTTGGGCTGTCTGGGGGGCGCTCTAGGGGGCCTATCAGGCCGTCTTGGGGCGGTCTTGGGGGCCTATGAGGCTATTTTGGAGCGTCGGAAGCCCGAAAACGCGAGAACGCGAACAACATAGAAAAACACAAGGAAAGTCAATGATTGTTGCTCCTTTTGGCCCTCTTTGGGGTTCTCTTGGAGTGCTCTTGGGGCTTCTTTGGGACCTCTTGGGCCGTCTTGGGGCCATCCTGGGCGTCTTGGAGCGCTCCTGGGCCGTGATTCCAATTCGTGGGCCACTTTGGAGCTGCCTTGACGTTCCTTGGGCCGCTCCTGTGGCGATCTGGAGGGTCCCGAAAACCGCCCTCGAGAGTAAAACCATTTCTGATCCGAGTCTACCTGGGACCTTGCTGGGGATTCTGGGGGGTACGTCTTCTTCCAGTGACCCCCAGGTGCGGCATCTGGTTGCCGGAGATCTGAGCACGCCTTTGGCCCGTTGGGCCGACGAATTCGATTCGGAACCGTCGTCTTTGTGCACTGAAAGCCCATTTGCATTTCCGGCGGAAGCACTATCCTGGTAAAGTGGATGTGTTGTACGACTGTGTCTACGTGAGAATTTTGTCGTGGACGAAAGCTGTGCTGTTCAAGTTTTTGGAAGCCTTCAGCACGGATAACGATGGAGTCAGTGTAAACATAAGGCAGTCCTCTCGAAGCACGAAGGATCATGTAGTCGATCCGTTCTTGTGGGACGGTCAGGTCACATGATGAATAATCTTGTGCCCCTGTGTCTTTGATTGTCGCCAGCTGCGGATGCTGTTCGTTCGTAGCGGTGTAATCGCCGAAACAAATGTGTCGCTCTGTTATCCAGGGTCCCAGCACATCTTCTCCGCTTTCATGCTGGCCTTTCCTGCAGGGGCCCTGTGCTCAAAATGATTGTCAAGACGATGATGGGGGATGAAGATGCAGAGGAGGATGATCACGATCATGAGCATGGTGAAGGAGGGGCCATTACGAGCAGGAAGTGCGAGTGGATCACGCAGAGGACCAGGGAGGGCAACGGACGCAGGGCTCCGCGAAGGCGGGGGGGCCTCTCTTCCCTGTCCCCCATGGTGTTCCCGATCATCCTCCTCCGCATCCTCCTCTCTCTCTCCGCCTCGAGGTCCTGATCACTCCTGCCCCCCTTCCCAGGGCTCGTTTCGATTCCTCCGATTCGATTCGATTCGACTTCGATGGATTCCGATTCCGATTCGATTCGACCTGGGATTCCGATTTGGATTCCGATTTCTTATTGGAGGCATACTAGCTTGCCGATTTCCGCCGATTCGACTTTTCCCGATTCGGCTGCCGATTTCCGCCGATCCGATTCATGTCGATTGCCGATCCGATTTATCGATTCGATTCTGGGCTCTCCTGCCTTCCTGCTTCTGTTCCTCGCCTCCGCCCCGGCGGGTGACGGTGGAGCGGGCGCGGGAGTACGGCGTGCACGCGGCCAGCAGCGCCGCCGTGCGCGGCCCCCGAGAGCGCGCGTAGGCGGCGAGAGCGACACCGTCGTAGCCCGAAAGGTCCCCGGAAGGGTCCTCGTCTCCGTGCTCCGGGAGCCTCGAGACGGGGGTCAGTGCAAACGGGGGTCAGCCAGGGCACTGGATCATACATGCAACTTTCGTGTTTATCAACACGACCTTCCGTCTGGCCAGACATTTGCTTTGATATATAGATGCGTTTCGTAACACGATCGTGTTCATCAACACGATCCCGGATTGCATGTTGTTTACAGTCTAACTCCATTGCGTTGAGAATGATCTGACAGCTGGTGGCAACACCTGCCTCGCATAGGCGAGGCAGATTACAAGTTGCTTTAACTTGCTCAGATCCTCTTTCTCCGCCCACCCGTGTCTCATTCTTCTCCGCCCTCGAGTGCCGAAGCGTTTTGGGGGGCGCACCGAGGGGGCACCAAAGCGTGCTTGGCGAAGAAATCGGGACCCAGGGTGTTCCTTTTTACCTTACTTTGCAGCTGAGGCTATACTGACTTTGCGCTCAGCTGCCTGCAGACCTGAGGATTGAAGGAGTAAAAGGGTGACGGATTCTTTTCCTCTGTTCCCGAGTCCTACCCTCACGGGCGGGATTCGGGACGGGGGGTGTGAATAGAACCCGCGTAATACCCTCGTATATACTCCTTATCCTCACCTCTCCTGCGCCTGGCCGTTTGGGCTCAGGTATTGGGACAAATCGATCAGACCTTTGATCGTGCAGGAGGGAAAGACATCCATCTATCCCTCCTTCCCTCTACCAACGGATCAGGGGTTCTGTACCCTTGTACTTCAACCCCGTACACAGGATCTGGAATCCTTCCTGTTCAATTTGAAATGTACTTCAACCTGCTCAACATTTGAGTTTCAATGGGCTTGATGTGGCATCCTGTTCATTTTCATTGAGGTGCGGTCAACATCTGATTCTGGATATGTAGCTCGGGCCATCTTAATTGACATGCGTTTGGCATGCCATCACATTCATATACACTATTCTGGATCCCGGATTTGGTTCATCTCCCTTGAAGTACACTTGACACTTGGATCAGCCAGTGATTCACATGTGTCTTACTTCCAAAGCCACCACATCGCAATTCAAGTTACATGGTATGCACTTGGGACCTGGCCGGGTTTTGAGTGGAATTAGTTTGGACACTGGTTCAAGTTCAATGAAAAGTTATGGATATGCGATCTTGTTCCAAAACCAATCGAAGTAGCGCTATCCATACAGTGTAATGGATCTGTGGCCTGCTCCATCTGAACTGACAGTGTGGGATCTGAGGTTGTTTAAGTAGTCAGGTTGTGGGATATGTTGCACCTTAGCCTCATAAAATTGGCATATACTTCGCATTGAGTTCAAACGCTCTGGATGTAGGATCTGCTTCATGTAAAAGGAGCTCACGTCGGAAATGGCGCGGCACTCAATCAATCCAGTTTTTGAGTTGGGAGCGTCTTCATTGTGATTGACATTTAAGTGTGCACACTTAGACTTCAATTTTACTCTCGTCGATATTTGACATGTTCCCATACCATGTGACGTACATTCTCGGGTCATAAATCTAATGATGATACTCGGGGATCATAGTGGGCTTGTTTTCAAAATGAGAGAGGACTGTTTACGGATTCCTTTTTGGAATTTGTGCAAATCCGATGGGATTTACCCTGACATGTTTTTAGTTTTCTTACGAATGGGAACTTTGAGGATTCATCCAGGACTCTCATGGGTCTCATTGGAATGCCCACGGATCTTAAAGGTTTTGCTATGAATCCATTTGGGACCTTTACGAAACATACGCGAACCCTGAGTAATTCGCAGGGAATCCTCACGAATTCCTTGGAGGCACGTACGATGCCGAAGGGCGTCCTTGTGAATCTTATGGGAAGCATTCGAAATTTGGGTTTTCCGAAGGCGAAGGCGTCCTTGCATACGAGGAAGCACTAGGGATCTGGAGGCCCGTACGAATCCGAAGGCATCCTTGCAACTCCTGTCTTGAGGGACCCCTAGGAACCGGATAAGAATCCTTACAAGCCAACTGGAGAGTCGTACGGGAATGTATGGGAATTCTTGCGAATCCCATGGGCATCCACACGGATGTTGTAGGAATATGTGAACCTATCCGCTGGCCACCCTCAGGGATGTTGCCGGAATCCGTGTAGATTTTGCGGAGATCTTCACGAAACCAAATGTGGTGAGGATTTTTACGATTGCACTTGGAATACGACTCCGATTGGATTTGTTGTACACATTGTCTCAGGACGCAACGCTCTAGAGCAATATCACAGCGCCTTTTCTGAGCGTTTGTACCGTCTTCTTGTAAGGCGCTTATAATGCGCCAGTAAGGCGCTGCTACGGCGCTTGTATGGCGCATAGATTACGCATGTTGGGCTCATGCAGCGTGCTTGGAAAGCGCCCGCAGAGTGCATATACTTCGGCGCATATCAAATGTCCGCATGGCGCCGGTAATGCGCATGTGCGGCGCTTGTATGGCTCGCGTAGCCTCGGATGACCCTCGTTGTGAGCTCACCCGTCCAGGTGTTCGTACCCGTTGGGCTGTCACCCGTGCTGTGGGGATCCCACTTGGTCGCGTTGGAATCTCACGACTGCAGTGGAAACCCATGCCAAGAAACACCCTGCTTGCCGCCAGGGTGTTCTGGATTTCTTCGATCACGATTGCAGTGGAAACCCATGCCAAGAAACACCCTGCTTGCCGCCAGGGTGCTCTGGATTTCTTCGATCTCGACGGCCTTCCCGCGGACAGCGCGACACTCCCACACCGACAAGCAATGGACGCCCCGGGGTCTCGGTGTTGGGTCTCTTGTGGCAGGCTTCCTGTGGCCGAGCTCCTGCCCCAGACCTGCGACGCCCTGACTTTGTCAGCACGGCGCCCCTGGAAGTCCCGGCCCTTTCCCCGGGACCGGCGTGTCGTCCCGAGTCGTGTTTTTCACGGTCCCGTGGCCCCCCGCGGGCCGCACATAGCCAAAAGATTCCCGTCCTGATTTGTTTTATTACGGCGCGATCATGTCTGGGCGTTCCTCCCCCCCCCACGATGTCCCGAGGGCCCCCCCCCCGGGCCGAAGATAGCCAGGAGCTTCCCGTCCTGATTCTTGTAGCACGGCGCGACCGTGTCTGGGTGTTCTTCCTCCCCCCCCCCCGATTTCCCAGGGCCCCCCGGGCCGAAGATAGCCAAAAGTTTCCCGTCCTGATTCTTTTCATTACGACGCGACCGTGTCTGGGAGTCCCCCCTCCCCCCCCCCCGATGTCCCGAGGCCCCGCCCCCCCGGGCCGAAGATCGCCAAACACTTCCTGTCCCGATTTGTTTTCTACGACGCGACCGTGTCTGTGGCTGACCCGGGTTAGCGAGCCGCTCGTGGCCGCGAGGCGGCCGCGCATATTGGCTGACCCGGGTTTGCGAAGACCTGCGTTGCAGTTTTTTTTTCCTGCATTGCAGTTATTGGTTTCCTGCTGACCCGGGTCTGGATTGACCCGGGTCAGAAGATCCCCGAGTCCTCCTCCCTTCTTCGGTCCCTCCCCCTCTTCCTCCGCCGCCGCTCCCGACGCCAGCGCAACATGGACGAGCAGAACTGGAAGGCCCAGATGGACGCGGTGCAAGCCCCGGCCGGCGGGCTCCGCCGGCCCCCGCCGCCAGGACACGCTGGCATGCCAGCCAGCCCTCGAGGTTCATGGGAGGAGGAGGAGGAGGAGGAGGAGGAGGAGGAGGAGGAGGGGGAGGAGGAGGAGGAGGAGGAGGAGGAGGAGGAGGAGTTGGAGGGTGAAAGAGGGGGTCTGCAAAAGGGGGTCTTCAATGGGGGCTGAATGGCCCATGTATGCTCAATGTATCGCTCATGTATGTGATCGGGTACGATTGGCATCCAATGCTGGCGGTCATTGGTGGCCAGTCATTCGTGCCCGCGCGTTGCCCGCGCGGGCACACGCGCCGTCCATCCATTATCGTTCATGCGTGCGGGCGTTCTTGCACATTGCGTGTGGCTCGGTGAAGTGGAGTGCAGGTGTGTCTTGATTGTGCGGTTGATGATCGCGTATGTTCCCAAAAGATGATTTCTCGGCCCCCAAGACAGATTTGAAATGGGCCCCGCGATTCTCCCAAAATGTGAATTCACATTGTCCTTTTTTCCCAAAATGTGAATTCACATTTTCCGTTTTCCCAAAATGTGAATTCACATTCTGGCCCCTTCATAAAGAATCCTACACAAAATTCCATAATGTGAATTCACATTTTCCTTTTTCCCAAAATGTGAATTCACATTTTCCTTTTTCCCAAAATGTGAATTCACATGTTGCTTTTCCCCACAATGTGAATTCATATTTTGCCCTGGCCTTCAAGATCCCCAAAACTGAGGCGCAGCGTTCCGCATGTCAGATTGGCTGGGCAGCTTTCGACACTCACCTGACCGCTTTCGTGTGTTCCAGCCTTTTCTTTTTGCGCCCTTAGCGCACGTTGCCTTCGTCGCCTTTCCCGAGCCCCCCGCCCCCTTGCTTCCTTTCCCCTCGAGTCTCGCGCGCGGGCGCAGGCGGGGGGCTTCAATTAGTTCCCCCGCCGAGCACGGCAATCGAAAATGCATCGCCCATTCATGGCCTTAAAAAACATCATTGCCGGGACCCTGCGCCCGACCCCCGGGAGGGGACTTTCGACCCTGCCGACGCGAACGGAGGAGGAGGAGGCCTCAGGAGAGGAGCCCCGATCATCATCAGGGGTAACTCGGGTCAGGGATAACTCGGGTTCGTTTTTCGGGAATCCAAACCCGAGTTACCCCGGACCCGAGTTACCCCGGATGACTCGGGCGTCCAGAGCCCCGAATCATCAGGGATAACTCGGGTCAGGGATAACTCGGGTTCGTTTTTCGGGAACCCAAACCCGAGTTACCCCGGACCCGAGTTACCCCGGATAACTCGGGCGTCCAATGGGAGGCGATGGGAGTCAGCCGGGCTTCGCTCGGGCGGGTGGATGTGGTGCTCTTGTTCCCGTGGTTCTCCTCAGGCCCACTCGCCCCGCTTTCTGCGGAGCTTGGAGCAACTGGACAGCCCGTAGCAGCTCCCTCGGGCGGGGGGGGAGGGGGGACGCACACGAAAACCGCATTCGAATCCGAGGCCCGAAAACCATCACTTCACTCATTTTGGGCCCCAGGGCCCACTGAGGCCCCAGGGGCCCCAGATTAGTGAAGTGATGTTTTTTCCCACGTAAGTACCCCGAAATTCATCACTTCACTAAATCGAACCCGGGACGAAAGTCAGGGGCCGAATTGCTGCTGTGATGCAACATCGGTCTCGTATCGAACGATTGCAAATCATGCATTGGCAAGACACGTATTGTGCGAGTGCATGGCACAGAGGAGCGGACGAACAGTAGTTCACAGTTGCGCCCATGGTGCACCTACAATTCGCCCCGGGGCATGGAATTCGCACACACCCTCTGACCGTTGGAACCCGTTCACTTGGTCGAAGGTTGAGGGAGGAGAGGGACCCGTAAAAGGAAGGAAGAACGCGAGGATTGCCAATGAAGAGTTATACCTCTCCACCCAAGCCCCCAGGAGGAGAAATCAGACTTGCTATCCTTAGGGGGGGGACTCCCCTGTGGCATGCGGAACTGGAGCGACAGCCCTGGGTAAAACAGAACACCCCGACGCAGCAGCGGAAACTACAAAGTTTGTGTTGCGCCCCTCGTACTTCAGGACCACATCCAAGAAATGATTTCGAGCACCCGGAACAGTGTTGAAAGAGTGTCGAAACAGTGTCGGACGAGTGTCTCCAAGGGCCCGACACGTGAAAACCCTCGGATTTCGGTATTTTTCTGGATCTCGATTTTTCCCCACATGCTTCGTGGGGTTCTGGTTTTCTTCCCTGCCGCGCCGCACCCGCGTCTCCTCACACCTCCCCTCCTCTCTCTTTCTTCCTCCCCTCACACACACACACACTTCACTCTTCCCCCCCTCGTCACAGCACTGGTCAGCTCAGCTCAACTCAGCTCAGCACAGCACAGCACAGGTCAGCTCAGCACAGCACAGCTCGGCTCAGCTCAGCACAGCTCAGCACAGCCCAGCACGGCTCAGCTCAGCACAGCACAACACAGCTCGTGGCACTTTCTCGACACCACAGGGGGTGCGCAGGGGTTGGTCTCTCAGCTCGGCCGTTATCCACGACACTGGCGCAAAGCCTAGCAGGCGTGGCACTCTCTCGACACCAAAGGGGGTGGGCAGGGGGTGGTCTCTCAGCTCGGCCGCTATCCACGACACTGGCGCAAAGCCTAGCAGGCGTGGTTATCCACGACACTGGCGCAAAGCCTAGCAGGCGTGGCACTCTCTCGACACCAAAGGGGGTGGGCAGGGGGTGGTCTCTCAGCTCGGCCGCTATCCACGACACTGGCGCAAAGCCTAGCAGGCGTGGCACTTTCTCGACACCACAGGGGGTGCGCAGGGGGTGGTCTCTCACCGCGGTCCCTATCCACGACACTGGCGCAAAGCCTAGCAGGCGTGGCACTTTCTCGACACCACAGGGGGTGCGCAGGGGGTGGTCTCTCAGTCGGCCGCTATCCACGACACTCTAGCAGGCGTGGCACTCGACACCACAGGGGGTGCGCGTCTCTCAGCTCGGCCGCTATCCACGACACTGGCGCAAAGCCTAGCAGGCGTGGCACTTTCTCGACACCACAGGGGGTGCGCAGGGGGTGGTCTCTCACCGCGGTCCCTATCCACGACACTGTCGCAAAGCCTAGTAGGCGTGGCAGTTTCTCGACACCACAGGGGGTGCGCAGGGGGTGGTCTCTCAGCTCGGCCGCTATCCACGACACTGGCGCAAAGCCTAGCAGGCGTGGCACTTTCTCGGCACCAAAGGGGGTGGGCAGGGGATGGTCTCTCAGCTCGGCCGCTATCCACGACATTGGCGCAAAGCCTCGCAGGCGTGGCACTTTCTCGACACCACAGGGGGTGCCTAGCAGGCGTGGCACTTTCTCGACACCACACGGGGTGCGCAGGGGTGGTCTCTCACCGCGGCCACTATCCACGACATTGTCGAGAACCCTCGCAGGCGCGGCAATTGCTCGACGCCAGAAGGGGGTGCGCAGGAGTGGTCTCTCACCGCGGCCGCTATCCACGACACTGTCGAAAAGCCTAGCAGGCGCGGCAATTTCTCGACGCCAGAAAGGGGGTGCGCAGGGGGTGGTCTCCCACCGCGGCCGCTATCCACGACACTGTCGAAAAGCCTAGCAGGCGCGACAATCTCTCGACGCCAGAGGGGGTGCGCAGGGGGTGGTCTCTCACCGCGGCCGCTATCCACGACACTGTTGAAAAGCTTCGCAGGCGCGGCAATTTCTCGACGCCAGAAGGGGGTGCGCAGGAGTGGTCTCTCACCGCGGCCGCTATCCACGACACTGTCGAAAACCCTCGCAGGCGCGGCAATTTCTCGACGCCAGAGGGGGTGTGCAGGGCGTGGTCTTCTCACCGCGGCCGCTATCCACGACACTGGCGCAAAGGCGAGCAGGCGTGGCACTTTCTCGACACCACAGGGGGTGCGGAGGGGGTGGTCTCTCAGCTCGGCCGCTACCCACGACACTGGCGCAAAGCCTAGCAAGCGTGGCACTTTCTCGACACCACAGGGGGTGCGCAGGGGATGGTCTCTCAGCTCGGTCGCTATCCACGACACTGTCGCAAAGCCTAGTAGGCGTGGCACTTTCTCGACACCACAGGGGGTGCGCAGGGGGTGGTCTCTCAGCTCGGCCGCTATCCACGACACTGGCGCAAAGGCTAGCAGGCGTGGCACTTTCTCGACACCACAGGGGGTGGGCAGGGGGTGGTCTCTCAGCTCGGCCGCTATCCACGACACTGGCGCAAAGCCTAGCAGGCGTGGCACTTTCTCGACACCACAGGGGGTGCCTAGCAGGCGTGGCACTTTCTCGACACCACACGGGGTGCGCAGGGGGTGGTCTCTCACCGCGGCCTCTATCCACGACACCGTCGAGAACCCTTGCAGGCGCGGCAATTGCTCGACGCCACAAGGGGGTGCGCAGGAGTGGTCTCTCACCGCGGCCGCTATCCACGACACTGTCGAAAAGCCTAGCAGGCGCGGCAATTTCTCGACGCCAGAAAGGGGGTGCGCAGGGGGTGGTCTCCCACCGCGGCCGCTATCCACGACCCTGTCGAAAAGCCTAGCAGGCGCGACAATTTCTCGACGCCAGAGGGGGTGCGCAGGGGGTGGTCTCTCACCGCGGCCGCTATCCACGACACTGTTGAAAAGCCTCGCAGGCGCGGCAATTTCTCGACGCCAGAAGGGGGTGCGTAGGAGTGGTCTCTCACCGCGGCCGCTATCCACGACACTGTCGAAAACCCTCGCAGGCGCGGCAATTCCTCGACGCCAGAGGGGGTGTGCAGGGCGTGGTCTTCTCACCGCGGCCGCTACCCACGACACTGTCGAGAACCTTCGCAGGCGCGGCTATTTCTCGACGCCAGATGGGGTGCGCAGGGGGTGGTATCTCACCGCGGCCGCTATCCACGACACTGCCGAAAAAAACCTAGCCGGCGCGGCAATGTCTCGACGCCAAAGGGGGTGCGCAGGGGGTGGTCTCTCACCGCGGCCGCTATCCTTGACGTTCGTCC